CCCATGTTTTCATCTCTGGCGCTGAGGGGTCTTTGTTGACTCACCCCAACGTGGGTCAGTCATATTTCTTTCTTCGGGATACAGGATTGCTCTGCCTCTCTCCTCTCCTTCTCAGTCTCTCCTTCCAACTCTCTTGGCCCAAGGCTGACCACAGTCCCTCATGCTCAAGAACACACAGCTTATCTATTTTTCATGTTTAAGGCAGCCAAAGCCTTTTAAAAGATAATGAAAACCCCTCAACCGCAATTTTGAGTTGCAAAGAATTTGCTAGATTTGCTGGCGCAGAGAATTATAGGAATGTTCTTCTGGTACTTTGTGGTCTGGAATTCCTGGAGGGTCAGGGATCTACAGGGAACACAGACATGTGAAAATAATTACGCTATAGTGTGTGTGTTGGGGGGGGTGGCTGTTTTGGGGGTGAGGAAGAGAAGCATCATATAATTTTTGCAGAAATGGTGACAGTCGAAGGATGGTGAGGAGTTTAACAGCAACCCAGACTGAGAGTGGGGGCTCAAGGGATCCAGGCAGGGGTAACACCATTTGCAAAGGAAGGGAAGCATGAAAGAGCACATCATTTTGGACGTGGACAGATTAGCCCTTACCCACAGATGGGCAAGTTAGCCGGTTTGGCTGGCTGGGCAGGTGCCCCTCCCCCAAGCCCCCATCCCGTGTTCCATGTATACCCTTCCTGAGTCTGGTTCTCTCTTCTTAACTCTCAGGAAATCAATCTTACACTGTCAAGACTAGGGAGATAAGCATGCTTTGCTGTGTAGCATGTATAGGAGAAAACCTTAGTTATGGCGGAGGCATAGAAGGTGTGCTTGAGGACAGCCAGAAGTGGAGGAGAGAAAGGACAGCTGGGCATGACATTGGAAGATCCTTACATCCAGGGCCTGGGGCAGGAAGAGGACCTTGCTTAGCCCCAGGTTCTTTTTGCATCTTACGGCGCAGCTCCGAGGAGGAGGCCACGTGCCAGGTGTGACTACGGGGATCTGAAGGGAGCATGGGGCTTGCTGTTGCTCATCCAGCATCGGCAGTGACTCCTGGGAACTTAATTGGCTGGCACCTTGGTCTTGGACTTCCTAGCCTCCGGAACTGTGAGAAATAAATATTTGTTGTTTAAGCCACCAGGTTTAGGGCTGACTGAGACAATAAGGAATGTGGAAAGAGTGGCAGGTTTTGGGGGGACACCATAAAAGCTTGTTTCAAATCTACTGTTCTTCAGTTGTAGAGAGGACCAGAAGGGAGTTAGATATAATGGTCTGAAGCTCAGCTGAGACTCGGTGTAGATAAAAGGTCAGGAAGGAATAACCGAGGGCACTCCCAAGAGACTCCCTGTGGGGGACATTCTTTATGCAAGTCCACAAATACTTTGCCAGGCCCCAGTTAGGCCCTGAAAGACAGGCAAATAAGAATCCCACAGAGCCTTCTACTTCAAGGAGTCTACCTAGTTTTAAGTACAGCCATGGACTCAGGTTCGGCATCTATGAAAAGTGTTTCTTAGAATTCTTGCTGAAATAAGGTGTCAAATTCATGTCTACAAGTTTAGGTCTGTTTCCTGGGCTTTCTGTGATTTGGACATAGAGGTACGTCCCTCTTTTTTTTTCTTTCTTTCTTTTTTTCTTCAGATTACTTATGAATTTCAACCCAATTCTAGGATATGATAAACATGACATTTGATTTACTTGTTATTTTCCGTCCTGCTTTAAGCTTAAACATAATAGGATTGACTTATAGCTGTCCAAAAAAATGGGGAGTGTATTTTTATGGAACTCTTCAATCTTAGGAATTAAAGTGGAGAGAAAATGGACGAAGGTTAACACGGTTTACTTATTTTTTTAAAGTGCAACTCCTTTTTGAAATACAGTTTTCTGTATGTTCATTAACTATTTTTAGGGAAACACACACACAGATATAAACACAACTAGAGTCTCTCAATTGACTGCCACAGTTTATGGAAGAAATAGTAAATGTTTAAGAAAATGCTTAAAATATTTAAGAAAACATTAAAAAAATTTAAGCAAATATTTAAATAAAATTTAAGAAACATTCTAAAATATGAATTTTCAGGAGAACTGTATGTGGACTCCAATATTTCCATTGGAAATTAAACTTCACAATAAGGGAAAATTTCACAGTGTGAACTGAATACACACACTTAAAGTGCTAATATACACTTTATATCATAAAAAATTGAGAAACCTTAATTTAAAGCATATAAAGATGTTTAGTTTCACCAGGAATTTACCTATTTTGCCAATGCTTATGGAATTAATCCCTTAGAAAATTCCTTTCTAAAGTATGAGATTTCTTATTGGGAAAAAAATTCAGAATCAAGTGGATTGGCATAGAAAATTGGTCTTGCATCTCTTTATTTAAACATTTTAAGCTCAATTTTTCTTTAGTTACATTTTAGCTACTCGAATACAGGTAACACATTTTGTTCTTTCCACAGAAACTGGTGTGTTTACTTTTATGGACTCAGAGGGGCTTTTCAAATTAACTTCAAATTTTTACAGCCCTTTTTTTCATATCCCGTGTGTGAATTTACTGTGTAGGCTTATGAATGATGGAACTGCCTTCAGTAGCCTACTAGCGAATTGCTTTGCTTAGGTGAGTGTAGAAAACCTTTGGCAGTGTGGCTCAGGCCTGAGCTTTAGCACGTAGAGCAAGCCAGGATCCGAAGGCACTTAAACATGACACACACTTTTAAAAATCCACTGAAAATTTGAGAGCATTATCAATGAAGTAGATATGACTGCAGTTTGTCTCCCTTGAACAAATTAGTTCTCTTTTAAAGTATCGACTGGGTCAGTGCTCAAGGTAGAACTAGGTAACATTACAATCCTAACACCTTTTGGGCAATGGTTCTTCTAATTAATATAATTAATATTTTAGCAAAACATCATGGGTTGTAATTGAAAGAAATCATCTGGGTCTGAAGAATGCCTACTGAGGGCAGCCCTGTTAAGATGAACTCAGAGGTGTGTAGATTAATTTCCTGGACTTGCAAAGCAGGAAAGGGAAGGTTTTCCTTCCTTATAAGCCTGGAGGGTTTGGTGTTTGGCCCTGTTGAGACCCAAGGGCTATCTGGGCTGATTAACATATATGTAATTAAAGTGCACCAGCTAGAAAGGCAGAATCAGTTTTATTTGGCTCTGTACTACTATGAATAATTTCTTTCTCTCTACATCATTTACCTTCTGTGTACGCGTGCTTGTGGGAGGTGGTCTGGTTTCCCTGGACATCCTCCTCCTACCTTGTTTAGGATTATTGCTTCCTATCCTGGCAGACGGCAAAGAGTAGACAAGCTTTGCCTAGCATTCAAACTAGATTTTTCTTTCCGTTCATATCACCATTTTTAAGCCACATTTTTCATCACAGGGTAAGAAACACTGTAAATAATTGAGGTGATCCATCAAGAGACCCATTCTTGATAATGAAAAATTGCATAACTCAGTAGAAGTCAATTAAAAACCACAAACTTCAGACCTCTTTGCTCAGTGAAGATTTATTTTTAAAGGAGGCATTTAATACGATAGATTATGGGGGTCAAAATTTTTTAAAGTTCTAAAAATTCAGTTAGAACTTGACAATCAACATAAGATTTATACAGTATCATAGTTCTTTGAAACTAAAAGGTTTTTGTTTTTTATTCCTTTAACATAAAACGTCTGAGATGTACAGGATTTTATAACCAAAATTAGAAATGACATCCTACTGTGGGATACCTTTTTTTTTTCCTTTGAAGTTTTTAAATGCTTCATACTCTCTGCTTGTCCCTACACAATGAACAGTAGGTAAACTAAGAGAGAAGGCAGGACATCTCATCTGTTAAACCAAAGGTCTGAATAATTAGGACTAGATAAATGACTCGAAATGTTTTTGTTGTCTGGTTGCTTGGTTAGATCACAGCCAATATGATAGAATGTAGTATCTAGTATCTTATACAACTTTATATAATTAAAAAAAAAAATAGTGGCAGTGTCTTTAAAGATACCCAAACTATGCAAGTGTCCAAGGGGAAAATGCCAAGTCTCTAAAAGGCAACATCCCTAACACTTTTCTTCCCTTTCGGTGGTTTTTCATGCCCCAAATCTAAAATTAACTAAGGAGCAACATCTATCTGCAGAAACAAAAATATTTAACCTTTTGTTTTAAGGTCCGTCACCTCCCACTCTATATTTAAACGGCACCTAACAGCTTAGGTAGGATTTGGCAGTCAGGCCTGGTGGATGCCTAAGTCCAACCAACAGTACACATGTGACTTGCTTCCTACTGAAATTAAACTGCCAAGGAAAAAGAAGGAATTGTCCCCTTTATTTAATAACAGAGAACACTATCGTTCGAATTCTTCAGATTTGGAATTCCGGCAGTGTTTTTCTGTTTTCCTCTTGATGTGTGATGAGAATGAATAATATCAAAAATAAAAATAAGCCTCATCTAAACAAGCAGTCCTTTGACTTTATAAGGCTCAACATCAAATATATCAAATTCTAAAAATACCAAAGACCAGTGAAATGTCAAAGCTGGGAGGATAACATGCTGGGGATAGGACAGATTCTTAAGCCTTTTGATTTATTGGAACCTACTAGTATTAACTTTGTTATGTTCATAGTTGCCACTTAAGTGGCCTATTAGGGACCACGAGATTTCATATTCATATAAATATTTGACTCTGACCTCATAAAAAGTCCCTTGGGTCTATAATACTTTTATTCTTGTATAATCGGAAACAAATCCTTTCCTTTTAAAAATCAAACAGACCACGTTACACACACAGTTGACTAACTATTTACAAAGCACCCAATTAAATCCTACTTAATTCTCTCTCACTCTAAAAATTCCATCTAACTGGTGTGCAAAGTACTGATCACATTAAATGCATAATGTTCACAGGCCCTAATGGTCCTATCCAACCTAGAAAATATTGACTTCGTTAAAGAGAAAAGAAAATCTTAAAAAATAAGTAAAGGGTTTTGAAGAAACGAGACCAGAAATCACAGTACAAGACAGATAAATCTACTTTAATATTCACATGTAAAAGTTACACATCACAAGAGATTGGACAGTAGTTTAGCAGTAACTAACATAGCTATAGTGAAAATCATTTTTATAAAAAAATAATCTAGATGCGGTCATCAGAATTTTTGGTCTACTTAAGTTAATGTTTGAAGATCGACTTTTATCCCTGCTTGAAGGATTTGCCATTATGCCTTGTTTTTTTCTCCCACTGTTGCCTATTAATATTCTTTGGAGGAAGGAAAGCAGAAAGTGTTCATTTCCAAGAGTTTGTCCTTTGGTAGCAAGCAGAGAACATTTTTCATTTCTATGATTTAAATAATCTGTACAGACATGAAACGTAGCGACATTAAGCTTTAGTGTAAAATGAAGAATGATAAGCATTTTTTTCACTTTCATAAAACAGCAGATTTCATAAACTCCTTAAGGATCCAAGCATTTCCCCATCCCATATGCAAAACCATTCAGAATCCATTTTGACCTCAGTTAAAAAACAAAAAAGCAAACACTTACTCTTTATATATTACACTATCAAACCCTGTACTTAAAAACTGATAAAGTATATTTCTAACATGTATGTTTCAAATACAAAGATTTCAATCTAGGTTAAAGAAAACACATTTGAATGGACTCAGAACAAGTTTATTTTGTGATTAAACATCTCATGCAGTCATGCAGGACTACTAGCTATAACTATTACTTCCAAGTCTACACGACACTGCATAAAACAAAAACAAATTAAAAGCTAGGCCTAACAGAAAAGACATTCAGGATATCAAGAGCTCTGCAATGGAGCTGAAAAATAATTTTCCAAAAGAAATATTCCCATAGATTAAAAAAAACACACACATAATATTTACAAAAAAATATTTAATTAAAAATATCTTATAATTACAGTAGTCTATTAAAGCATATACTTTCTCACACTTATAGAACATCTCTATATATACATGGTATGAAATGTCACTCAGTTATCTATACAATATGTAACATTCTTGCAGGGAAAAGAAAGTTCCCTGCCCCGTTATAATCATCTATTTTAAACAATAGATGTCAAAAAAAAAAAAAATATCTACAATGCTTTTATATTAGTAAAGCTTCAAAACAAAAATTGAGCTCCTTGGTCACAAAGTAGGCTTCTAAAGTTGATTTACTCTTGATCTTCTATTTATCAGTCCTGTCACACTTAAGCTTAAAAGTTTAACTGCACCTCCAAAAACACAGAAATGTACATTTCACAGCGGTTATAAATGAAGAGACAAAAGAGAATACATATGCAGAATGTTTATGAACGTGCAAAAAAAAAAAAAGGATGAAAGTTGTGTTTTTCTTTTCCCTCTCTCTCTCTCTCTTGGAATGACGAATGAATCGTTTCTAGGATTTGCTGATATTTTTTTTCCCCTCCTTTCCTCGGGTGGCTTTTTCTCTAACTTCTGCTCTTTCCCCCTCCCTTTCTAGTGCTCCTGGCTCGGGCTCAGGCGGCCGCACACCTGTGGAAGAGGAATGAATAGAGGGGGTGTGTGAACCTTCCCGCTGCAGACTAACTGGCGCCACCGACCAAACTCAAGACATGCTTGATCAACAACCCAAAACAAACCACCAGGTCAGACAACACCCGCAGCCCGCAGCCGGCCAGGAGAGCGGCAGGCAGCTGCTGGCCCCCGGGAAGCCCGGATTGGGGATCCACTCCCAGGCCCTGCCCGCATCCCACTTTGTGAGTGTCAGACAGCGGGGGGGGGGGGGGGGGGTGCGCATCGGGCAGTTTCCACGCCCGCCAGGGTGCCCCCCTCGGCGGGGAGGAAGGCAGTTAGAGCCCGCTGGTCGTGGGAGAGGCACGGGGGTGGCGTGGCGGGGACGACGGGGACAGGAGCTGCTGACCCGTCTCCATTTAGAGTGGACCCCCAATTACCGAAGCCAAGTACGGTGGCACGGACGGGGGTTGTCCCCTTCACTGGGATTCGCCCTCAGAAATGCTTAGGAGCACAGAACACTGCGGTGCCTGGCACCGGAAGCCCCTGGGGACGGGCGTCACCGGAGCGGGGAAACGCGCGCTCACCTGGACAGCGCGGCTCAGCGGCACAGAATGCTGTCGCCCTGCTTGTTCACCGCGCCGGCCTGGAACAGCAACGGAACACCAAGGCGAAGGTTAGCAGGCACAAACGTCGCACTCGGCACGGCCCTGGATTCGTTCTCGGAAACCAGGCAGGCACGCCGGCACCCCCGCCCCCGCCTGCAGCCCTGGGGGACTCCCCCAGCCCCACCCCAGGCGCAGGCTGGACTTGACAGCCCAGGATGCGCAGAGCCCCAGCCCCCCCGGCGCGTTCACCCGGACCTGCGCTCGCCGCGCGGAGCCCGCCGCTGGTGGCCCCGGGCGCCCGGAGGAGGGAGGGGGGTGCTGTCATTTCCCCGCCGCCCCTGCCCGTTGGAAGGGGAGCGCCCGCGTCCGGCCCCCCCGCCCCCGCCGCGTCCGCTCCGGGCCGGCGTCTGGCCCCTCTCACCGGGTCGGTGTTGAGCGCCGTGAGCGGGGTCCGCGGCGGCGCTGCCGGGCAGGTCCCGGCCGGGTGGTGCGGTGGCGCCGGCGGTGGCGGCTGCCTCAGCAGAGCCGGGTGCGTCTCCAGCGCCAGCTGCAGGTCCAGGATGTAGTCGATAACGTGCTGCAGGATCTCCACTTTGCTGACTTTCTTGTTGGGCGGGATGGTGGGCACCAGCCTCCGCAGGCGGCTGTAGCAGTCGTTCATATCGCACTGCAGGCACAGCGCCGGCTCGTCGGCCGCCGCCTCCGCCGCCTTGCAGCGCGCTGCCGCCGCCGCGGCCGCCGCGGCCGCCGAGCCACCCAGGCTGTGGCCGTGCTCGGCCAGGCAGCGCAGAGCCAGCTCCCCACCGCCGCAGCCCGACGGCGCCTTGCGGCCCGAGGGGCGCACCGGGCTCACCGCCTTCATCGCGCGCGCCCTGCGCCCTGCGCCCTGCGCGAGCGGACCCGCTGGGGCGAGCGAGGGAGGCAGGCAGGCAAGCTCCGGGCCCCCGCCCGCGGCCGGCTCCGCTCCCCTTGCCTTCGCGCCCGGCGCGCTCGGTCCGCGCTCGGGGCACCGCGAAGCTCCCGGCGATCCCGCGCCCAAGAATTGACGGCAGGGTCGCTCCGGGTTTTGCGAGGGGATCTCTGCTCAGTGGGCGACACTCGGCCGGGACCAAAAGGCAAGAAAAATCAAGCGCAGCGGAAGGAGGGCAGCCCGCCGGGTTCCCTCGTCACTCCCTTCGGAGCTCCGACTACAGCCCGGCCGCTGCCGCCGCCGCCGCCGCCGCGCTCCCCTGCCCGGAGGCTTCCCCACCGCCAGACAGACTCTCAAGCGCGCCTCCTCTACGCTCTCGCCCCGCCAGCCGCGCAGCTGTATTTATAGAGCCGCGCGCCCCGGGGGCGGGGCCAGCACGCTGGCGGGGTCGCCGCGCGAGCCGAGCGGAGCCGGGCTGGGCGCGCGGGCGGGTGCGCGGAGGGAGGCGGCGAGGGCGGAGGCTCCGGGCGGCGCTGGGGGGCGGGGAGCCGGGCAACCCGAGCGGCCGGGTGGGCGGGGGGTCGGGAGTGGCCAGCCAATCGGGCGGACGGAGCCGCCTCAGGGAAGGACGCTCGGGCCAATGGGAAGGGCACTCCATTCCGTCAACGCCGTGGGTCGGGGTTCTGAGAAGGGAGAGCCGAGGGGGAGTCGGGCCAGGCTGGTGCGTGCCCTAGGGAGGGGGAAAGAGAGGGAGAAGTTCCTGCGAAGCACTGCGGGAATGTGCGGCTGGAATTCACTGTCCCCCGGCTTAGGCTGCTGAGGGGGCGCTGGGCCCTGCTCGAGGATCCTCGCGCGGCGACCGGGGACCCTCCGCCACCCATCACTCCAGCCCTGGGATTCCAGTGCCTTAAGAAGGACGCTGTTCAAGAAGGCACGTTCGTTCTCTTCTGTATTTTCCCTCTCCGTTTCATTACTCGCCTTTTCACAATCCCCGAAACCATAATGATGGAACGGAATGGAATGTGCAGCCGTTCCGTTTTCTTTTTTTAAAAAAGGTTAAAGCTTAGCAAAAAAAAAAAAAAAAAAAAAAAAAGGAAAAGAGTGCCGAACGCAGATATTTGGTGAAGGGACATACAAATCAAAACGTTGTAGGATTTTTCTTTCACCCATCTAGATGCACAAGTGGGCTCAAGAAATGCAATTTCCTCAAAGCATTAAATGAGGGCACGTAAATATTAAAAATGCATGGGCACGGAGTATTTAAAATTCCACCATGATATATAATATTAATCCGTTTTATGTAAAATTCATACCTGTGACTTGATGTAGGCCATTAACGCACCGCCTCACGTGTTAAGCGTACCCCGCTTTAAATAAGATGCTAAGAATGGCCAGTCTCCTTTTGCAGCAAAGCATTAAAATTCACACTTCCAGTTCCTGGAGTCCTGCTTGGGCCACACCCTGCAGAAAAGTCTGTTCATTAAGGACGTTTCTGAGGTTACTAATAGGAAAGCTGTCCTGGAAGGGTTCAAACAACACTGCACAATGAACTTTGATAGGACCCTGTGTGTACTCTTCAAGGAAAAATTGAGCCCTTTGGTTGAGAAATGAGCATTAAGACTCTCTGGTCATTGAGGATATAAATTTTGAGTGCCTTCGCCCTGCAAACCTCCCACCTTTAGACAAGCTAAGAGAGGAGTTAACTCAGGAGTTTTCTTTTGTGTACCTGCTATAGATTGGTGCCTTCATTTTTATAGATCATTAAGAGAAAGAGATGTGGACCTCACCTCTTCCTGTTTACCCTCTTCAAGGAAGCTCTCCCTCCCTGCCCAGAACTGAAATACCTGCATCAGGCAGGTAGGTACTTTGTTTAGCCACGTGGGTATTTTATAACTATTAAACTACTAGCTCCCCAGAGCACATTCCTTTTTCCTGATGAAATGAGGAGTAACGATGTAATGCTGGTTTCACAGGAAGATGCAACATCCCTCCTCTCCCCTAATACTTACACATTACTATCTCTACTAATTGTTTGGGAACGAGGGACATTCTCACTTACTTACATGCATACTTAGGTGGTCTACATACACACTTATCAAGAAAAGGAGAATTGTAGGGCGCCTGGGTGGCTCAGTTGGTTAAGCGACTGCCTTCAGCTCAGGTCATGATCCTGGAGTCCGGGATCGAGTCCCGCATCGGGCTCCCTGCTCGGCAGGGAGCCTGCTTCTGCCTCTGACCCTCCCCCCTCTCATGTGCTCTCTCTCTCTCATTCTCTCTCTCAAATAAATAAATAAAATCTTAAAAAAAAAAAAAAAAAAGAAAAGGAGAATTGTAAAACCTCCAAGAAGACTTTCTTCTAACTACAGGCGTAGTTTTATATATTCTGTATATATTCTTAAATTAGAATGAATAAACACAGAGAATATTTTCGTTTTAGAGACAAAGGTGGGCCAAGGGGCACTCGAGGGCATTAAGCTACTACCGTGGAGCTTGTCATATCATCACAGATGGTAATAATAAGTGGAGATATGTACAGATGTTTCTGTTCCATTGATTTTTTTTCTTTGTTAGAGTTTAAAAGCTGCTTCAACATTTAAAACCTAAGATTATTCTCTGGCAAAATTGAACAATGCTACTATACCTGGGGCACACTCATTTCAAAACTTTACAGGTCCTGAGTTGATTCGATTTAAAATGTAAGTTTTAAATACGTGACACAAAGGAACAAACCTATCCATCTTGTTGGACTTTGCTAAATCTCAGAGAGCCGTACCCTGGGTGTGACAAGTGCCAAATGCCAGAGTTTCAGGTTTTGTTGGAGTTGCTCTGTGTGACTGGCTCAAAGTCAGAATAGCTGGGTTACTGTGGAGCCTAAGTTCAAAGGAATGTACCCTGGCCACATGATCAAGAACACCCAGGAAAAATGTGATCCCCCAAATCCTGCCAGGTTGGAAGACATTAATCAGTTAAAAGCTAGGAAAACATTATACGATGGAAATAAAGTATCAAATCCTGTGCTTTTCGGCCTCCGAAACCTGAGAGCACCAGGGGCTAACCAATGTATGTTTTTGATTCTTAGACACAGTCCCTTGCATGACGTCAAAGCTGAAGTCATAAAAGACTCCCAGCACTGATCGTTCAAACCGGAGTTTACTCAGCAATGACTGGATTTTGGGAAAACCTTGCAAGCTACATGATCTGTAATGCAAAGGAGAGGGAAACTTAGTTTCCCACGACTCTTCCTTTTACATCAAAATGCTTCGCTGGCACTTGTAAAAGTAAGATGGGCTAGCTAGCCAAAAGCCCTTTGCCATGAAAGTGCTAGAGGCTCCCAAAATGTTCCTTAGAGGGACCCTGGGATGAAATAGTCTTGGGAAAATTGCCAGGGAGCCCTGGTGCCCAGAGTCATGTGTACACCCTCCCTCCAGACAAAGAGTTCTGCAGCCCTTTCTTGGGATGCTTTCTAGACGCTAATCAGAGCCTTGCTGAACTGCAACACCCAGGCTCTTAGAATTCACAAGCACCCTGTGTTTACATGAAGCAAGGGTATCCAAGCATATTGTGCTATTCAGTCCAAATGCCTTTTTAGGACTTGATACTTCTTTCCCCATGGCTTGCAGGGAAGCAGTGGGTGGGCTCAGACAGATAAACAGGAGCATTCCCATGCCTTGATGCCTCTCTAGATGTAAATGGTCACTGGAAGGAGGCACATGCATTCTTTCCAGGCACAAGGAACCAGTATGCACTCTGTTGCAGGAGCGTCCCTTGCTCCAAAAGAGTACATTGGGCAATGTGGCAGTTCATGCTCAAGGCTGCTTTATCTGGCACTGAGTGTTACAGACTTACTTGTGCTACCCATGGATTGCTGATACCAGTCCCGGAAGCACTGATAACCTTTTTGATTTGCCCAGTCTTGGGAAAGCCTTATAAGAAGGAGACGTTATATATTGAACATAGCCAAGCAGACGTGGCCAGCAAAAATGCCTACTTCAGGAATTTTGAAAGGTAGTCTGTTGAAATAAGAAGGAGCTGATGTGAAGAAGAAAGAGGTGTCCTTTGTTTTTACCTTAGGAGAGTAAGAGTGTAAGGCTTTTTTTTTTTTTTAATGATTCTATTTGTTTATTAGAGAGAGAGAGAGCACACGAGCGGGGTGAGGGGCAGTGGTAGAAGGAGAAGCAGCCTCCCTGCTGAGAAGCACCCCCCCCCCGCCAACATGGGACTCGACCCCAGGACCCTGGGATCATGACCCAGCCAAAGGCAGATGCTTAACCGACTGAGCCACCCAGGCACCCCAAGAATGTGGGCTTAAAAGTCAGAACGCCTCTGGGTGGCTCAGTCGGTTAGGCGTCTGCCTTCGGCTCAGGTCATGAACCCAGGGTCCTGGGATTGAGCCCCACGTTGGGCTCCCTGCTCAGTGGGGAGTCTGCTTCTCCTTCTCCCGCTGCCCCTCCCCCTGCTCATGCTCTCTCTCTCTCTCTCTCTCTCCCTCACTCTAATAAATAAATAAAATCTTTTTTTTTTTTTTTTAAGTCCGAATGCCTGGGCTCCAATTTTGGCTCCTTGGTTTAGTAATTTTATATCATTAAGCTGGATTTTTAAATTCCTCTGCCTTTCTTACATGAAATGAGGATAGAAATTATATCTGCTTTATAATGTGTTCATATATATATTTAAACTTATATAAAATTCTTAGAACAGTATCTGGCACTTAATGAGTGTTAAACTTTATTATTATTTTTGGCACATATTATTTCTCAGTCTGTGGCTTGTCTTCTCATTCACTTAACAATCTAGGAGAGCACAAGTTTTTAATTTTGATGATGTTCATTTTATCAATTTGTTCTTTAATGGAGCATGCTTTTGGTATATCTAAGAAATCTTTGCATAACCCAAGGTAATGAAAGTTTTCTCCTGTGTTTTCTTCTAGACATTTTATAATTTTTAGGCTGGGTTGGTTTTATGGGCACACAACGTATGCAGCCAAACAGGGTCCCAAGCTTAGAAGGGTCTCGTTGGTTTAATGCTCTGATGTTACTATCTTGAAATTCTCAGTAATTTTTGACAAGAGGGCCCATGTTTTCATTTTGCACTGGGCCCACAAATTATGTAGCCAGTTCTGGCTTTAGGTTTTAGGTTTAGGTCTGTGATCCGTTTTGTGGTTATTTTGTATGTGGGTCAAGATATGAATTGAAGTTTCTATTTTTTGCATACGCATGTCTGATAGTTCCATCACCCTCTGTTGAAAAGACTCCTTTTTCCATTGGACTGGCTTTGCACCTTTGTCAAAAATTGGTTGTGTATATATGTATGGTTCTATTTCTGGCCTCTGAATTTTGTTTCATGGGTCTATTTGTCTGTTTTTACACCATACTGTCTTGATTACTATAGCTTTAGAGTAAGTCTTGAAATCAGGTAGTATTGATTGACTGATCCTCCAGCTTTGTTGTTCTTCATTACAAAGTTGCTTGGCTATTCTGGATATATGTTGCATTTCCATACGGATGTTAAAAGCAGTTTGTGAATGTCTTCAAAAAAGGGCCTGTATCCAAAATATATCAAGAGCATCTACCAAGAACATAAAAGATCTCTCAAACTCAATAAGAAAAGAACAAACAACCCAATTAAAATGTGGACAAAAGATCTGACCAGACAGTCCACTAAATAAAATATACAAGTGACAAATAAGCACAGGAAAGATGCTCAATATCACTCGTCATTTGGGGTATAAGTACACTTCAAAGCTACTATGAGATATCACTACACACCTGTCAGAACAGCTAAAATTAAAAAGACTAACCACACTAAATATTGGTGAGGATGCACAATACCTGGAGCTCTCCACACTGCTGGTGGGAATGTAAACTGAGAAAAACCGCTTTGGAAAAACAGTTTGGCAGTTTCTTAAAACGTTAAACATACGCACGCCACATAGCATACCATAATTCTACTGCTAGGCATCTATCCAAGAGGAGTAAAATAATATATCCAAGGGCCATGAGGGGACACAAGAATGACAGGTACATTTACTATCAGTATTATGGTAATGGTAATGTCAAAATGTATCAAGTTGTGCAATATATATATCTATATATAGGTATATATATATAGTATATCACTTTATATGGTATGACAATTATATCTCCATAAAGATTTTAAAAAGTATTAATTTTTAGAATTAATATTTCGATCTCAGAAGAGCTTCTTCCATGAATCCACCAGTTTGTTCTTTAACTTCTGTAGATGGGTATTTTATCATCTCTCTCTCTCTCTCTCTCTCTCTCTCTTAAACTCTGTATCATAGTGCTATCCGTCAGGGATTATAGCATTAGCTGAATGCTGGTGAGATGCCCTCCAAAGAAGACATGAGACATGTATGCTTGAATATGTCAGCTGTCATGGGGATCCATTAACATAGTCAATCACCTGCTAGAAATGGGCTTTGCTAAAACCACATCCACTCCTCCCTGTTTTGTGTTGTTCTAATGTGACATGGATTTGAGGCTCTGAGGAGGACTCAACCTGATTATTGGAAATACTCTTCCCTTGTGCAGAATGAAAGCTATGCTCTGGACTCTCATCTCAGTGCTTCACCCCAGCTGCAGCATCTGCTGCCTCAGGTACCCCACATTAACAGCTGCCTGGGGGCACACACACACTGGATGGGGACGATAAGAAGCTCCATCATTCTATATTCAGGATGACTTGCCATTTCCCCTCTTTACCCTTTCTGTCTCAAGAAAATAAACAATCTAACAGGATTAAATGCATTCACTTCCAGAACAGGGAGTAAAAAATCCCAGCTGGTATCCTAGTTTTGCCTCTAAAATCCTATGGCTCAGTCTGTAGCCTCAGCTTCTTCATCTGGCAAGAGGAGGGATTTATGAGGATGGAGTGAGGAGTAGCTGCATTGAACACCCTAGGAGAAGGGCAGTAAGTAAACAATAGGAGGCAGTAGACTTGCGTATAAAAGATACTCAATGTCCCCTGAAGTCTGCACCATTATTGAAAGGGGCTTGTAATAGGTAAATGGTTATAAAGATGCCAAAGAAAACAAGTTATTGTGTTAGCTCATCATTATCCATTAGAGGAGAAATTCAAGACAAGAATATATGCATGTATGTGTGTACTATTTAAAATTCATCCTAATAGGGGCGCCTGGGTGGCTCAGTCAGTTAAGCATCCGACTCTTGATTTCGGCTCAGGTCATGACCTCCAGGATCAGGAGATCTAGCCCTGCCTTTGACTCCACGCTCAGTGGGGAGTCTACTTGAGATTCTCCCTCTCCCTCTTCCTTTGCCCCTTTCCCTGCTCTGCTCTCTCTCTCTCTCTCAAATAGATAAAATCTACAAAAACTTTCGTCCTAATAATTACTGATTTGTATCTGCTGCATCCTTTCTTTGAGCAGGCAATACCACAAGTAAAGTCACTGCTAAGATCTCTTCTAGTCACAGCACAAACTGGTGCTAACCTTCCACTGATGAAAGATTTCAGCTACATTTCCCTTTCTTGTACGGTGAATGCAAAATAATCCCCCAGTCTAGAAAAAGCACAATGAGATGTGTTTTAACTACTTAAACTAAAGATGCTAACTAAACAGTAATTTGTTTCATATCTTGGATCTGAATGCTGGACGTGAGCTGGTCACACAGTAAATCTGCCTTTGCTGAGAACTTTCCCCTTTTGTTGGTATCTAGGTCATGGTTCCTAAGAATGGATACAATGTTCAAGAAATGGTTGCAATTTTTTCCCTGAAGAGGAATTTTTGAGACCTTTTTTGCAGATCTCACACGGTTGTCATTGTCGTTGGATGGCTCATGATGTCCGTGAACTGTGTACCTGCAGTGCAAGATGGCCCTGGAAAGTAGATGAACAGCATGAAAACCCACTTGTATGAGAAATAATTAAACTCCTACATTTTTCTACTAGCAAAACACATGCAACAAAACACTAAAGGAATTCAAGATGCAGGATTAAAGGAAAAAGGGACTGAATTAACTCTGAGCTTTATCAACATTGGTGATTGTATGTGAAAATTGTCCAGTTTAAATAAAACCATCCCTTTGGGAGGGATTATAGTTACTACTTTTCCTTGAATAGAATTAAATGATATTTCTAATCTTTAAAGACTAAAATCTTGGATGGAATATATTTTCTTAAAAGTCTATTTGACAGAATAATCTAAAAATTTGATAAAACATTAGATAATACTACTTGGTCTAAGGGAACCCTATTTACCATGTTCAAAACAACTTGTTCATTAGGTCAACATCAATGTATGATTCTCTTTGTTTGCATTATGTTCTAAAAATGGCCAAGACACATTATAAGGGAAAATAAGACAATTCCTGTGACATTGTAAACATGCTACATATATTGTCTTTGAGGCTTTGGGGAATAATTAGGTTGGAATTTTAGGATATCCAAGTAACTTGTTAAAAATGCTTTAACATTGGTCATCAACCTATTGTGCTGTCTTTATCAGGAATCTACAACTTGTACTACATAAAATGAGTTTGCCCTTTAGCAGATTATTAAGTGGGCAAGTCTGGCACCTTCCCACATTGTCCATCAACAGTCTTCCCAGAGCCGCCGACTCTTGATCTCTGGTGAACACAGTTGGAAGACTCATAAAGCTTTCTTTTTATCCAACTTCTAGGAAAAGCATCCTAATATCCCAAAGAGATATATGCTTAAAATTTCTACATTATGAATTATATAAAACCGATCTTTTCAGCCTTACTTTTAAGGCTCTCTGTCAACTGATCCTTCTCCAAAACGGTTTCGATTCAAGTCAACTCGAGTCAAGCCTACAACATATGTATTGTACATTTGTTATATGACAAGACTGCATTCAAGAAAAGTTAAATCTCTTGCCCCCATGGAACTTACTGTTGAGATGATGGCTTACACAAATTAAAAATTCATTAATGAAATACAATGCATTCTGTGCCATAATACAGGCATGTATGGGCTACTGTGGAGGCAAAAACCAAAGCCTGGGTCAAAGGAAGCTTGAAAGAGGAAGAGTGACTTGAGCTCGATCCTGAAAGATGACTTTTTCAGTGGTGAAGGCTTTCCAGGTAGTGGCAATGGCAGGAGCAGAAGCTCGGAGGAGTGAAAAGCAAGGGTCTCCCTTGTCATTCTTCCTGCCTCAGTCCAAACACTCAACATCCATTGCTTTACATTTGACTAGTACTTTTATTCCTCATCTCATCATACTCTTCCCTTCAAAACCATTTTTCACTTTCTTTTCTCCCAATCTGCAACCACCAGTTCCTTCAAAAACCATGGCTTCTGCATCCACGAAGCTATTGATCATGAATTCCCTTGCTATCATTATTTACAAGTCACTTTATTGACTTTCCATTTTATAATGAAGGATATAAAAATTGCAAGGTAATTGAGAAACTACAGAAAAACATAAAGATGAAAATAACCCACACCTAGAAATAACCACACCGTGAATATAGATATTATTTCTCGAGCAAAGATTTTTGACATGCAATGCATACTTCTTGGAAACCTAATTTTCACTTTATATGGCATGGATACATTTTCCTATCAATAGTTACTTGTCTTTGTCATCATTTTTATGGTTGCATGGTAGTCTATTATGTGGACATGCCATAACTCATTTAACAAACTATTATAAATATTTGTATTGTTTCCAACTTTTGGCTGTGTAGTCTCATCACATCTGATGCACTTCTTTTAACTCAGTATTACACAGTGGTTTGCATTTGTTGGCATGCTACTGCGCAGTTCTCTTCAAGCTGTGTCGGGATGGATCTTCAACTACCAAAACATCTTAAGGCAAGGCCAGTTCTTTTTGTTACTTTTTATGGCTTAATAAGGAGATTTATTGGGAAGTGCTCAAGTGGCTACTCAGGTGGCTCGGCACCATCTCTCAGGATGACATCCTAATGAAGAGCTGTTCAGAGGTGACCTGCAGATTTCCCACATATTCAGAGAGTGGTTGGCTTGTTGAAATGAGAAGAGGAAGTGTTGGAGCCAAGTAATGGTGGATCCACTGGAGCAGCTGACATCCCAGGAAGGTTCTGGTCTACTTAACAAAAAAAGCTCTAGAAAAGTTGCTAAGACTTTAAATTATGAATTTGCTGGAGATTTCTCAAGGGAGGGAAATGGTGGAAAGGAGACATCATGGGATAGAAAGCAGAGCATGTGGGTTGCATGAGTGAGCCCCGGAACTGTTATGGGTACCATGAGTAGGATCATGTCAGTACTTCTGCTACTGTTGGTTCTCTCTCTACTAAGGGTTCATTTCTAGGCTGAGCCTCTCAGTCCTTTCTTTCAATTCATTATTTTCTTGCTCAATCATCTCCTACAACCTGAATTTAAATGCAGTTGCAAACAATTTTGACAATGAAGTTTATGTCCTCTCTGCACACCAACTAATCATTATATTCACCCACATTGGCCCAAACCCTTTTATTCCTGGAGGCCAAACCAGTTTTCTTTTGAATTCCGTAGTCACCACTGTAATCCAATAGCAAATGATAAACTGCCTGTCCTATTGGTTAAAATGTAAACGAGGAATAAGTAAGTAGAGAAGACAATTTTTATCAAGTTTCTTTTTGGAAATTCAGGTATTCATTCATTTTATTGAACAACCAAGCACAGAACTATGTAAGTCAAGTAGGTATAAAGGTCCCCTTCAACGATATGAGTTTAGAAATGCCTATTATAACAATGTCACTAATATAATCATTTATTTGGGCAAAATTGTCTTGGGATAGAAATGTCTTTAGTGTAAGGATGATTCTTTATTGTCTCGATTGTAATATGATTAATGTTTAACATGTTGATGAGACAGCAGTTTTATAATCTGGGTGGTCAGAAATCCATTATTTAATTTCTGAAAGGACATGAAATCACAAAAGCAAAGCACTCTTTTTCATCCTGTCATAGTATATTTGCTGAGCCACCAGGTTCCCGATGCATCTTTATATCTGTCCTGCTGAACTGAGGAAGTGTGGTTATCATTTCACTAAAATGGTGGTGCTAAGGTCTTTACTGCAGGCGTAACAAGAGATCTCTTCCTTCCTTCTGCCTTGGGTAACCTAAAAAAATAGAGTGTTAATCTGTTCTAGGTCTTGATCAAACTTAGACTTGTTTCAAAAAATGTGAAGAAGTGTTGGCCACAGCTCTATCTCCAGATTTTAGAGGTGAGTAGGCAAGTGGAGCAGGTATGAGAGCCAGCTCCAAAGACCATTCCTAAATAGACCATCAACTTGCTTATGGGATCGTATATGGCAGAGGAGGGAAACTGGCTGAAGGTCTCCCTGTTAGTTCTCATTCCCTTGTCATGAATAAAAATCACACATCTAAATCAATATGGCTTTTCCTCTTGGATATGTAATTTTTATATTTCTACCAATGATTGTAACATGCTAACTAAGGGCTACTTATAATCAGCAGAAGAATTTGGATTAGTGATTGGGAAGTATCTGGACACTAATAGAGCAAATAATACCTCAGATCAAACTTTTCAGAGATCACATAGAAAAGAAAATGTGAGGGGTGGGGCAAGAATCCAGGTCTGACATTTAGGAAAGTAAATACAAAAAGGCAAAAAACATTAGAGATGATATTTTGAATGAATGAGCTATTTTAATGAGAGTTGCTAGAATGTGATACAAATATTTACTAGGTAAACCCGTAGAATTTTCCCTGTATTCACATATTTAAAGCAGAATAAAATGATTTGGGTGGAAGGTTGGAGTGGAAATTATCTAGGTCCCTTCCAAATGTAAATTTCTGTGATTTCATGACATTCTTCTGTCACTGTGCATGCTATTCCTTCTTAATTTGCAATCTCCAATTAGCTTTGCAATTATAGTTTTAGTAAAATGCTTCACTGGTCTTCACTTTCTAATGCCTAACACCGCTTTAGTACAGACAGCAAAGAGCTAAGCTAAACAGGTACCTTGGTGATGAAGGTACTTGACCTATGTCAATAATAGAAATATTTCATCTTGCAAGAGATTCAGCACTTATTTGAAAGCATCCTGTTTGCTTTGTGCAAGCCTTGTACATTACCATGTAGCACAAGAGTCTCATCTGTAATGTGGAAGACATTTATATTCATGTAGTGGCTGCATTTTTGAAATACAAAGTATGAATCTTTATTATCAGTTCTGATTTCCATAAGTCATCCAAGAAAACTAGTCTCATTACTCCATAGTCCAATTGCACAGATAAATCCTGGTTATCTTCCACATTTTTATTGACTTTTTTTTCAGGAAGTAGAGTGTCTATATAGTTGGAAAGGATTTGCAACAACTCACCTCATATACAACAACACATCGTTGGACTCATCTTCTAATTAAAGCAGGGAAATCATAGCCAGTTTCCCTATAAATGATGTCACCTGGAGTTCACAATTTAGGGCACTGCATGCATTCACTCTTTCATCTCTTCAAATACCAAAGGCACTTAAACCTGGGGAGGCTTGAATCCATTGTATTATCATTCATTCAATATCTACCAATTTGTATTAGGTCCTTCTATTTCTTCTGGAGATTTAAATCTTTTTAATCATAATATGTATTTTATTCTGATCAGTAAGTTCTAGAGAATTATACTCTACAAATATGGGTTACTTTAAGGATGTGGTAAGATCAATCTCTTTTTCACTATCTTAAAAATCACTGGCAAAAGTGATGGCATCGATGAAACAGTAGGGTTGAAAGATTAATGCTTGTTCCCAAATGGTGCGCATAATGATCTCCTGCATCCTTGTTTTATATCCAGATATCTGAGAACCACCCCTTACCTCATTCTGCTTCAGGTGATTCA